CAAAAGGGTCGAGAAGCTAGGCAAAGCTAGACAAGGGTTCAAGCTTCTTGGAGAAGCTAAAAAAAGGTCAAGCTTCTTGGAGAAGTTAAAAAGGGTCAAGTTTCTTGGAGAAGCTAAAAAAAGGATCAAAAGGTTCAAGCTTCTTGGAGAAGCTAAAAAAAGGTCAAGCTTCTTGGAGAAGTTAAAAAGGGTCAAGTTTCTTGGAGAAGCTAAAAAAAGGATCAAAAGGTTCAAGCTTCTTGGAGAAGCTAAAAAAAGGTCAAGCTTCTTGGAGAAGTTAAAAAGGGTCAAGTTTCTTGGAGAAGCTAAAAAAAGGATCAAAAGGTTCAAGCTTCTTGGAGAAGCTAAAAAAAGGTCAAGCTTCTTGGAGAAGTTAAAAAGGGTCAAGTTTCTTGGAGAAGCTAAAAAAAGGATCAAAAGGTTCAAGCTTCTTGGAGAAGCTAAAAAAAGGTCAAGCTTCTTGGAGAAGCTAAAAAGGGTCAAGCTTCTTGGAGAAGCTAAAAAAGGTTCAAAAGGGTCAATCTCCCTCAAGAAAAGGTCTCGGTCAGGACAAGTGGCCGATTGATCAAAAACAATGGCCGGCCGACCAAACACAATGTCGACCGACCATCAATAGTGCCGACCGGCAATCACCAATGGCCGGTGGCAAGGAAACAAGGCCGGTGGCCTCAAGCCATGGCCGATGAGGTGTGGGGATGGCCTACAAGCTACTTCCCACCCTCAGAAGCAAAACAACAAGTGTTTGGTGCAAAACCAGACACAAAACAGTCGAGTCGAGAGATCCTGAGGTAGGGCGCGTAGCCGAGACCTCCGGGAACTCAAGACGAACACGAACAAGGATGATCATCGAGTGTTCAAACGATGACGTCCAAGTCTTAAGGACGGTCAAAAATGGGGTGTCTACACCCGCGGACGAAATATCCGTAAAATGGCAATTGTAGTGCTTGTATGACCTACGTTTACATGGGTCCCATTTGACGGCTGCCCGCGGACGAAATTTCCATGAAATAAGGAGTTTGAAGTGTTATGCATATATGTTGTGTGATGTGAAATTTATTGAGTTGTAGCCTCAATTCGTTTGTTGAGAAATAAGGAAATTGACTCATGAATGCAGAACAAATAGGTAATCAAAATATAAATTGGAAGTGCATGGATAAAGACTTGAAATTGATACCTTATGAGTATATAATGTTGAGAAAAGTTTTACCACATGCATTGTTTATGCACTTGTGCTTATACCTTTGCTAAGTTTCATATACTGTGTTAGATGATTTCTACTGGGTTGTGGCTCACCCTATTTGGGAATAACATTTTTAGGTAATGATGACATGCCTCCTCCAAGGTAATAGCACAGAAGTGATCTTTGGGAAGCAAGAGCTTCATGTTTTGTTTATTTTTGCATAGCCTAGGGCTAAATATGTACTGAGTGAAGCTCATTTTGCTGTAACCAGTCAAGGCTTGGAAATGTGTAAGCCAGTAGGGCATTTGTTTATATTAAACTCTTTTTTATCTTTAACTCCACGTAATGAAATAACTATTTACTCTGCTGTATGCGATTATTAATGTATATTTTGGGTTGCATCGAGTGTGTATTTTGGGGGCTTTACACAAGTGCTAATTTCCTCCTTTTGTTACTTTATTGTTTAAATATTTAACAGAATCTAGTCATGTGAAAAAAATGTGACTACAAAAATTTTCTACCAATACACACTTTGCCCCAAAATTCACATCAAATTATGACCGTATTAGGCTAAAGCAATATGTAGATTGTGAACAATTAAGAAGATGAACTAGAGTTTTTCATAAATTGGAATCACAAAATTTTGTTTTCTACAGGAACACAGTCTTCTGTCTATTTCTCTTTTTCTCTTCGATTTCTCTACAGCCTTTTTTGATTTCAAAAGTTTAATTTTTTTGCCTCTTTGTCCCAATTTTCAATATACGAACATATATATAACTCTCATATGCTTATCATGTAAAACAAAGTGTGTACTAGTGAGAAATAGGGATAATTTTTGTCTCTTATCCTTATGTTGTAGTTACATTCTTGTCACATAACTGGATTTTGTTAAAGATTTAAACAATAGAGTAACAGAAGGGGGACATTAACATATGTGTAGGGATCAAAGTGAGATTTGATCAAAAGTATAGGTGGTTGACTGTCACGATTTCATATGTAAGACCAAAATAGGATTTGACTGAAAGTGTAGGAGGTCGATTGTCATGATTTTATGTGTAGGGACCAAAGTGAGATCTGTTGCGAAGTATAGGGGGGCAACGGGTAATTTACCCATAAAACTAGTATTTGTGGGATTGTCTATGGAGGTAGGCTTTACCGAACCATGTAAATTCTTGGTGTCTTTTAGGTTTAGTTCTCTTTATATATTATCTATACTTGTTCTTGTTCTTGTTCTTGTCCTAGTTCTTGTTCTCAATATTTATAGCTATCATCAACCTTTAAGGTGGTTAAGTG